AGAAGTCGTGAGAATGACCATGTTTGACCAGGATCGAAGTGCTTGCTATGATTAACCGGGGAAGAGGACTGTTAAAAATGTGGATTATTGTCTCCGACGGATAACAATGTACCATGTCAGGTTGACCTTCATGCGATTTCCCCTGGAAACCGTCCTGATAAATTCCTGATGAATTTATCACTATAACTGACCTGACATCATGTTCATCTTATCATCCTCCACTGGTGCCCCGCCAGCGTCAACCGTTAACGCAGGTTGCACCGTTATAGTTCATAAAAAAATATGATTAATCCATTATCACAAACACACTTTATCATTTGTAAGAAACAATATATTTTTATTAAACTGTAATATCAAGTCCACATTATAATAATGTTTCTAAGAAAGCTTTAAAAGCTAACTATTGGGAGTTGCTTTTGTTGCTAAGTACCAACTGCTGGTAAAATTTAAGTGCCCGTCTCATTACGAGCTTACGGCCCATTACACTACTGATATACGGATTTTAAAATCTAAATCCCATCGTATCAGATAACTACAGTAATATTATTATTATAAACGCTAAAATTTGTGATGCATCTCTTTCACGCAAACACTACTGAACGGATAACTAAATAGGCATCAGAATATTTTTTTTTATTGAAAAATAACGCGGGTGAACCCGCGGCCACAGCTAGTGATATTATATTATTGTAATGTAATATATTATTGTAATTTAAGCACTTTTGAATAGTCATAGTTATTATTCTTTTAATCTACCGCTCATTCGGAAAGCTGTCTCATCACAAGAAGAAGAGAGAAGTGTTGCTCTTTTAAATAATCATTGTAATTTAACATTTCCAATTAATAACATGAACAGCACCACAGAGGTAACTCTTCATGTATTGACCGTACCTGAGAATTAAGATTTGCGTCTCACGTTGCTTTTGTTTTTTCATTGTTGTGAGTTTTTAAGAAATCACTCAGCGCCATCTACTCCCAAACTAAGCAGAGCTTCTGTTATGGTTACCAAGCAATCGATGTAATTACTTAAATATATTTGTGTAAATACGAACCCGCGATCATCGAATTTAGCAGTGTGCTTAACCGCTAGACCTCCGAGATCGTGAAATAAAAAGACTTAAGTACATTTGTGAGAACCCCTGCGAACGCTCAAGCTGTATCTATCCGATTCAATATAGCTATAGTAAAGTAATTAATGCCCGAAGTATGCCTTAGGTCTGGATCTATTGATTGTGCCAAAATGATTAATTTGATTTCGTAACAAGCGAAAGCTGTTGTTTATTAAGTAACGTGACTGGAATATTCTCCAGGTATCGGCTCCAAGCAAGTCACCCCAGGATACTGAATACCTCCATTAGACGAAGACAAGAGGAACATAATTAATTAACTGGATTGTAGATTACCATCCTAGTTATAGAGGTTGTTAATTGCATTTTATTTTATTTTTCTAAATATATAGATTTTATTTCATTTTAATTACCTTAGTGGTGTAGTGAGTAAGATATAATTTAGTAAGATTCCTTTTAGAAGTCGCGGTTCGATTTCCATGTAACAACTTAATATTTAATACACCGACTAAAAAATATAAGTACTAAATAACGTTCATATAAATAAAGATGGGACACAGTCACCTAGATACATCAAAATATAATAAATAATGTCTAGTAATTCAATATTGTCTACTAGGCACTATATAAACTGTGTCACCCCACCTTACATTTTCCTACTTTTATTTAGTATATAAGATCATTATTTTTATGTACACATTGTCAGTTTATCATCATCTGTAATATACATCGTCTCGACCAGCAACATCGTATTATTCACATGATATAATTATTCTATACAAGTTTTTATTAATTATGTATTACAAGTTCTCTCAAAAGTCGACGGTAAACCAGAACCAGAAAATAGCTCATCACAGTTAACAGATAAAATAAAAAAAATATTGACCCATTGGTTATGAAATTATAGGTATTAAAAAAAATCAACACTAGTGATAATCATTTGTACCTTGATGATATAATTTGTAACTTTTTTGGGGGGAAGGCGACTAGGAATCCTTATAGAGTTAGAAATCCTCCACGCGGTGGAAACTCCTCGTGGAAACCATCGTGATAAATTCCTAGCGAATTTGCCACCATGGGCTACTGACCTGACATGTTCATCTTATTATCTTTCACTGGTGCCCCGCCAGCGTAAGCCGTTAGCGTAGGCGAGTGCACCATTCCATTATCATCCATAAAAAGAAACTTGTCTCTGTATTATATGATCAGTACATTTTCCTATAAAGATCTATATTTACTCAACTACCGAGAAGAAAAGAGTAATGTTTTTCATACTTCTGTCTACGATGATGAATATGATCCTACTGTCGTGAACAAATATGATATTTTTAACACACGTCCGCACTTCGTTTGTGCACACAGATTCGAGGTACTTTGTGGCTCGTTCTAGTATTGTAAGCAGTCGGTTGCACCGACAAGTCGTTTCGGTACAATTCGTGCATGAACAAATCATAACAAATTATACTATTAAGTTCATATAGTAAAAATCAAATCAAAATATCAGATCGGAATGCTTTCAAGTTGAGAATTGACAAGAACTTCAGCTCGTATTCGTTTCAAATATTGTGTACAATAATACAAAATCATTTTTGAATTCTAATTTGGGAGAATAGAGTGGCCACCAGCATATGCTCTTGCAATTATGACAAAAGCAAATACCTACGGTAATTAGTGTTCGTAACTCAACAGACCAGTCCTCCCAAGCAGCACCCGTTCACGAGTGTGACGGATGAGCCAGCCATCATTGCACTCAACCATATTAGAGGGTGCACATTGACCCGGCCCACCACGCCGCCACATTGATTGATTGATGAATAAATAAAACCGCCTTTATAGAACACTGATTCTTATTACTAAAATAAATATAATGATATTTGTTAGGCAATTGTTTAAACTTTCGTGTTATTTTTAATAATATACATAATGTATATTATTAAGACCCGACTTAACACGAATATAATTTTATAAATGCAAATAAACGTATTTACATTTACACCTCTCTTGACGGTTCCACTAGGTGGTACAAGCCGTGGTCACAACTATGACCACCTTTTATGCCATAAAATTAGTCGTGTTAAGACGGTTAATAATATATATATAAATCTTATATATAAAATTCTCGTGTCACAGTTTTCGTTCCCATACTCCTCCGAAACGACTTGACCGATTCTCATGAAATTTTGTGAGCGTATTGAGTAGGTCTGAGAATCGGCCAACATCTATTTTTCATCCCCCTAAATGTTAGGGGTAGTCCACCCCTAAATTTTTTTTTTTTTTAAGGCAAAACAACGTTTGCCGTGACAGCTAGTAATCTATATAATCTATGTACGTAGATATTTAAATTGTAGAAGTATATACAAATGATATTTAATATAAGAGGATTCGGTTCCAAATGCAGGCTTGTTATTTTACTCAGCATCGTAACTAGGCAACGGTGTTGCCGCCTGAAATTAATTTAGCCACAAATTAAAATTTGACAACTGTGACAATGACAGGGGCGGGAGAGAAAAAAAAATACGAAATTGGTATACTTAAGTTATACATATATATACTCACTGCAATGAAGATGAAGATTTGAATCATATTATATTCAAATGTAGAAAATACGGACTCGACAGATTATTACTCATTCACGAAATTCAAGAGCTTAGTAAAGAAGTACCGAAGTCTCTAGAAGAGATCTTATCAAGGCCTGCACTATTCAAGACTTTATATAAATTTATTTCCAACACTGGGAAGAAATTATAATTTTTTTTAAGGTTTTGTATTTTATGTTGGGCTAAAAAGGACTTGTATCCAGAGCCGTAAAATATTAAATAAAAAAAAACATATATATATATACTAAAGTAAGATGTAATTAGGAAATAAAAGATCTAATACAAAAATATTAAATTTTATTAATGTGAATAACTGATATGTCACATAAGTAGGTACTTACAACAACAATACTGAACACAACACCAGTTAAATGCGTATTATAACATCTATAAAATTGTAATTCTATAACGAACTCTTTCGCTGTACGTTCAATACAGGTCGCTAGTCTAGTCTCATGCTACGCCGCTCGAGTGTAATACTTAGCTCATAAAATAGCTTTTTAGCCCCTCCGAGCGATGCCCCGTCCAATTCAAACGGAGCTCGAAATTACAACGGTCAGAGTCAAAGGTTCGAAGCCTAGCAGTGTCCTCAGACTAAAGTCGTATCCGTCAGACAGGAGTTGACCTTTAGTCGCTCCATAATTCCTTCTGCAGGTTTGGAGTGCCATCTATACTCGCCCTTATCGTCCAGTGAAGCTGTAAAGGCCAGCTGCGGCCAACAGTATTGGAATAGGTTTAAAAAAAATGCTTTCTAAAGGTTAAAGAATGATCAAGTATCTAGACTATCTAGACTATAGAGACTATCTTCTTTTTATAACGATATATTAATATTTTTACGCTTTTTAATTAGGAGTTTTGGGCTATTACTAAAGAGAAAGTGTAGCACTGCGACGTGCATAGATCTATTGTGTTCGTCTTTTTTTAGAATTCTCTGCCCGTTCAAGGCCCGTTAAAGCTTGAGGATTTTGAAGGATATTCTTAGGAGCGATAGTATATAAATATATGAGAATAACATATGAGCTGTCGAATTAAGAAGAAATATCAATATTGATTCAGAATAATCGAAAATTTTAAAAGTTGGAACTAATTCCTTTAATTATTTTTAATATGGACGAAAATAATTTTCTCTTCCTTTAAGTTATGAATGAAACCTTTTTATGGATGAAAACTTACAAATATTACATACAAAATAATTTTTCACACGTACTCAAATTAATATAATACTCAGTACCTAACTTAAACGTGTGTGACACGATCTTAGTAATATAATAATTAATAAAAAAAAAAAAAACATGTAACTAATAAAATACAATTGAATATAAAAAAGCTAGGCCAATAGAGAGCAATTTTAAAAAGTAAAAATAGTAAATATGCGTGATGACTAATTTCTAAATTAATAGATTTATTATTGCCGACAATTTTGCTTACAACTAATGTTTAACAAAGTTTTGGACTATAAATTTTTAATTAAAAATTTAGATATAATGAACATATCATATTAGGATTAACTTGTATAAACTTAATGACTAATTTTATATAAAACTAGATAAATATAAAAGAAAACAAATATAAAACATTCATTATTTACTTACCATCTTTTTAAAATCTGCACATATTGCATTCCTAGAATTTTTAAAACACAAAGTTCGCATTCATTGTTTATTTTATGCAATATCTTAGGTAACTAGGGTTGCCTACTCTCTCGGACCGTCCGGGAGACTCTGGTAATAATGGTTAACCTTCCGACCAGCCAGAACGCAATAATTTCTACGGTTTTTCTATTTTAATAAACCCCCCCCCCCCTTAAAAAAAATCTTAAATATAAATTTCTCCCGGGTTGATCCTTTCGAAAGTTGCCAACCCTGGTCGCAACCATAGGGAACATATTATATTTCAAATCATCCTAAAACAAGATTAGCAAAACATATCTGATACGCTTTTATATCCTCCAACATGTTCAAAATATATCCAAATATCATCAAATATTTGAAACCGCATTTGGTAACTAGTGACAAATAAATTTGATCTCTATTCAGTCGGCTAAAGCTCGTCTTTCGTCCGTTTCCGTTTCAGCGCCATGTCGTCATGCTGGAACCATGTGGCGTACACCCTGAGAGGTTCTGGCGACGAGTGGCGATGGAATGAGACGGGACGGTCGCGAGCGATCACCTCAAGCGAGTAATCTTGTGGTCGCGCCTGCAACAATATAGCTTTTTAAAATTGACTTTTTTACCGTTACCTGCAGAAACGACTTTTTATAAAGTCTACCACTTTGTGAATAGATAAATGACGTATTGTGTTGATAATGAAGTCGCCACTATCTGAATCATATGCCCTGAAAGTATTAAAGTGTATACTAAGTTAAAATCAAAAAGATTCATTCATTTCAGAAATCTATCATTTAAGAACGTCACCATTTACACCCTACGCATTGATATATTACATTTTTAGAAATAGAAATAATCTTTATTCAAATAAATTTTAATATAAGCATTTTTTTTTCCATCTTGCAGATGGCACTCCTAACTCGCAGAAGGACAGGAGCGGCTGAAGGTCAACTCGTGACTGACTGAAACGACTTTAGTCAGAGTGCACTGCTAGGTTCTAATGTCAGCTCAGGCCGTCGTAATATCGATCACCGTCCAAATGGGGGATCGATTGGAAAGGGTAATAATTGCGTCTGATCTGAGCTTGATGCGTGCGTGCGTGTTTGCGTGTGGGCTTGCCTGCGTGCTTACGTGCGTGCGTGTTTAGTCTGTAAGTGTGTCTGGATGCGACTGTGCGTTGGCTCTGAGCGTGTATACCTGGTGGAACAGCGGCGAGTGCACCAGCGTGATGTTGAGGCGGTGCGCGGCACACGCGCCCAGCGTCATGTCGTCGGGAGCGGAGCGGCCGCCACAAGCACAGCTCGCCACCAGCTGCGCACCGCGGACACTTAGCACCGTCCCGCCACCGCCAGTTATGTAGTCGTAACCTACCCACACACCGTTAACCTTGTTACATGTTGTCATCATCAACTGTGTACAGGAATCCTTACATTGGGGCCGCTGGCTGGCACGACAATTCGTATTTTTAAATATTTATACGAATACTAAAAATATGAATACTAGCTGTCCCGTCAAACGTTGTTATGCCATATAAATTAATAAAGCTATAAAAAAATAGGGGTTGATGATAGAAGGGTGAAAATTTAGGATTGTATGTAATTTTGTATGTTGTATCATAAAAATATAGAAAATAAAAATTTTGTCTAAAAAATTTTAAAAAAAATTTAGGGGTGGAATTCCCCTAACATTTAGGGGGTTGAAAAATAGATGTTGGCTGATACTCAGACCTACTAAATACGCTCACAAAATTTCATGAGAATCGGTCAAGCCGTTTCGAAGGAGTATGGGAACGAAAACTGTGACACGAGAATTTTATATATAAAATTTTCATTGTTGCTATGGTTTTGTTATTCTCATTCCTCTTGCCTTCTGCTACCATACATAGTTTGTTACGAAATATATTTTATAATATACTGTTATACATTCATATTGCACCTTCATCGTTGGCTGCACCGACCGCAGCGCACTACACACAGTTCCACACAATCTGCTTCATTTTTTATGACATCACCATTGTGACATTTTATATATTGTATAATCGATACTATTAATATATAATTATCATTGTGCATAGGACATTGACTTTAAATTATGACATTATAGATTATTTAATTTTAATATATTAAAAAAATTGCATGCCGATAAATTGAGGCAATTCAAGAGTTGCCAATAACATACGTACCTACTACGTAACTTGGACGTATTACCTAATATCTAACTGTATAACACGCAAATAAAATTTCATTTCATCCTTACCCCATTTATTTGGGGTCGCCGTTTTATGTTTTTCTCTTCCATTCATACCTGTTCGCAGTCATCTCGTTATTTACTCCTTTTCTTAACATATCATCTTTCACACAGTCCGTCCATCTCTTTATCCGCCTTGTTACATATTACAACCCTAAAACTACGTGTGTAGAGGGGATTTTAATTTGGACCAATAATCTCAATAGCAATGTACCATGTCAGATTGACTTGATCATCGAGAGGTGTGACTACTTCAAACGTATAGATTGGACCATGTCAAATAAATAAACAATGAATATACAACCCTGGACAATGACCTCTAGTCCCACGTGATCATCGAGATAACTGATATCAATACATAGTATTTGTAAATACAAACATGACTCACTCAATCTTATCATCCGAACCCGCGACCTAAACCGCCAGCGTTTGAAATTAGAAACGTTATTTATATACGCAGGCGGGTGCCCATTTACCATATCATCCATAAAAAAAAATCACTGTAAAGTTTCAACAATGTCCGGTTGACTTGATCATGAGAGGTAAACTACTTCATACAAATGCAAACCGATACCGTATATAGATTGGACGTAGAAATAGGTCCTTGAAATGTAATCGTCTGCAACGGGTGAATAAATAAATAAATAAACAATGAATATACAACCCTGGACAATACATACAGCACCATCTAGTCCCACGGTAAGCAGAGCTTGTATTATGGGTACTAGACAACTGATATTAATACATAGATATCTTCTTTTGTAAATACAAACATAATCTACATAGAAAACACCCAGACCGATACAATCATACTCATGAATATAAATGTTTGTACCGTGTGAGGAACCGAACCCGCGACCAACAAAAGCGGTGTCCTAAACCGCTAGACCACCGTTTGAAATTAGAAACAGACACTTCAATTTTATTTATTTACTACCAGTGGCCGCGGTTTCACCCGCGTAATTTATAGCCCATAGGTTATTCTAAAGTATAAGCTATATCACTGTAAAGTTTCAACAAAATCCGTTCAGTAGTTTTTGCGTGAAAGAGTAACAAACATCCATTCATACTCACAAACTTTCACGTTTATAATATTATAATGTAATAAACACTGAAGAAACTTATCCTAAATTTAGTAATGACATATTGTAATTTAAATATTGTAATGGATGAAAACTGTGATTGGTACAGTTTATGCTGTAAATAATATAAATGACGTAGTGGAGTAACTTGAAACAGTCATGCTCGCTATAAAGTTCAAACTTGTGGCGGCGTGGTGGCATCATCAGGGTCGATGTGCTCCCTCTAATATGGTCGTGCAATGATGGCTGGCTCATCCATCATACTCGTGAACGGGTGCTGCTTGTGGGGACTGGTCTGTTCAGGTTGCGAACACTGTTTAGATTTTTTGATTTTTTTTATATAGCATATGCTGGTGGTCACTCTATTCTCCCAAATTAGAATTTAAATGAAATAGTATTATTGTAAATATGTACAACATTAAAAAAAAATACGAGCTGAGTTTCTTGTCAGTTCTTCTCATCTCGAAATCATTCCGAACTGACGGTAGATTTGACATATCATAAGAGTCTGTAATAGATGAAGAAATACATGAATAAAGATATTTTGAATTTGAATTTGAATTTGAATAACATATAGATACAATTAATAACTCACCTTTACCATCGGACTCCTTTTTCCCGTAGCCGTAACCATACCGTTCCCCTAATATAGTGACGTCACTACCGCCCCGGTAGCAACTTAGAACCTCGCACAGTCTCTGAACACTGAAAATATTTGAAATCATACACACAAGGTCCCAGTGGTTTCTGCCTATCTGTGTATTTACGTGGCAATATGCGACGGTCTCTGTGGTCTAACGATTTAGACACCGTCTTACTTCTGATGGTTCGGAGGATAATGCGAGTTCAATTCCTCGCACAGTACATGTAATTTTGTAAAAAAAATCGCCCGCAACGGACCACAGACAAAGTCTCGTACTCTAATATCAGTGGTATTTAATAAACTATATATAGACAACTTTAATCGTGGATCACACAGAACCATCTCTTTCATCCCAAACTTTACTACCAGTAAAAATTTTATATTTTGTTTATTCTAGGCGATTAAATATAATTGAACATATATAACACATGCCATTAACATCTATTTCTATAAATACAAATATTGAAATGTTTGCACCGTGCGAGGAATCGAACCCGCGACTATCTGAAGTAAAGCGGTGTGATAAACCGCTAGACCACCGAGCCCGTGAATAAACAAAGATTGCTACAAAAGAGACAGCAAGATACACATTTTTGTAGTCAGAATATAGAAGCAATACTTACCCCAGTATGGTATCATCATCAGCGAGGAATATCCATTTTATGTGGGGCATATCTCGAACTTTATTGACCACGTATTTCAAAATGGAGACAGTCTTTAAACAGTGTCCTGTTTTGGAGTTTGGCACGCCCGTGTCTATGGCGGGGAGGGATGGATCTGCACACAAGAGTCATAAATAATAATTACCTTGGATAATTCACACAGCGCCATCTAGTCATAAGCTTAGCAGGGCTCATATTATGGGTACTTAATGATGTGCAAGTAATTAGTCGTCCTCGGTCGCTTAGCGGTGTGCTTTACCTCCGATGTTCCCGGGTTCAATCTCTTTGACTTTACCCGTACCTAGACTTCGAGATCTTACACCGACATGGTATGTAGAGCTTCGTATGACGACGTACTTCCAAATGCAATTACAATAACCATCCACAGGAGGTCGGGCAGAAAAATATATTTTTATGTGGACTAATGATCTCATTTTGTTTCTAGCAATGTAAATATGTCCATAATATATGGTCGAAAAGTTCTCCACGACAGGTTTTTATTTTAGGAAAATTAAGAAACCATCGTGATAAATTATTTAGGTGAATTTGTCATTAATGGGTTAATGCTTTTTAAATAAACTGACCTGACCTCATGCTCATATTATCACCCTCCACTGGTGCCCCGTCAGCGTAAACCGTTAGCGCAGGCGGGTGCACCATTTCATTATCATATACAAAAAAAAAACATCCACAGGAAGGGAAGGGAATTGTTAGTAATATGGACTGATGACCCCAATGCTACCAATATCAAGCTAACAAGGCACGTTAGGTTGGCCTTCTCGTCGTTCCCTCTGGAAACCAACGTGATAAAATCCTAGCGAATTTCTCACGATGGGCTAACTGACCTGACCTGCTCATCATCATCATCATCCACTGGAGCACCTTTCCACTATCATACATTAAAAAAATTGCCCACCACATAAGCGTATTTCTTTTTTATACTTGATAATGGATTGATGTACCCCCCTGCGCGAAAAGTTTAAGCTGGCGGGGCACCAGTGGAGGATGATAAAATGAGCATGAAGTCAGATATCAGGAAGCCCATACAACCTAATTTGGTACATTGCTTGCAATGGTGTTAGCCAAAATTTTTAACAATCCCCAGCCCCCCCCCCCCCCCCCCACATAATTGTATTGTATAATACAAGTGGATCTGCCCTAAACACCACTTTAACGAGAGACAAACCCCAAAACCAAGTGTAAACGAAAATATAAAAGTAATTATCATACCCGGTTTATCGCTGAAGAACAACAGATTGGTCACATGTTTTCCCCAAGTTTTCTTCACCACCTTCGCTCTGGTGGAGTGGAAGCCACTCCAAGTCTTTACAGCGAAGAATATCGATTCCTCAGATATGGCACTGCCCTGCCGAGAACGCGAATTTTAGTCCACAAGAAACCTTACAGTACACAATCTGTACATATAAATAAAATTGGAGTTGGCATAAGAAATTTAGAAGGACTAAGGAGGGGCATGACATGAAAAAAGGTTGGGAAACACTGGTCTAGAGTCTCTGAACTAGGTCGGAACCTGTCCTACAGATAATATAGTCTGCACAATGTGGACATATCAATTGTTGTATTTAGAATAGAATATAACTTTATTGTTGTGTGGGGTACATTCATTTGGAGTTAATATTGTATTTTTTATACTATGACGTCGGCAAATAAGAATACGGCCCGTCTGATGGTTAATGGTTACCGTAGTGCATGTGCGCTTTGCCGATCCTTAAGAAACCTTAATATACTACCCTAATAGTTAATACCCTTCTTGATAAACCCCAAGTATGATAAGTATCAACAGGTAATTGCTATGTGAGTCTCAAAGACGTGCGAGGATGTGATCGTTGCAACCAATTATAAAACACCAAAATTGTTAATTGACTTGTAATTATATAATTTGTATATAATCAGCACTGTAACGAGATGTGAAGAACAGAAATAAAAGACAATCATACCCTTGAGAATCTAGAGTAGCCAGACCAGCAAAATGAGACCCACTTTACCACAAGACCACTTTTTTCTGTGTTGGCAATATTTTATACTTATTCTATTTAAAAATAATGTAATTATATAATCGAGCTACGCTTATCCTAGCTACGCTTGTTACATAGTTATACATAATTACTTACACATATATCGAACTGGCGAGGATACGTGGCACAGTTATCACCAGACACCACACAGAAGCTGAGCTCTGGCGTGAGGAGAGGTCCAGGGTTGTCTGCACCACCGTACACCAGTTGCGCGAGCTCAAACGCTGGATCTATTGAGAAATCTGCTTCCAATTTACGTGCGCCACCTTCAACTTGTTTGAGGAATCTAGAGACGAACATAGATAATACTTATTTTAAATCTTTCCCGTTTAGTACACATTATTAATATAGGTAACGGGGGGGAAAGGTGATTGTTACTGATGTGGACTCATGACCCCATTACTAGCGATGTACCATCGTGGTAAATTCCTATGAATATGTCATGATGGGTTAACTAACCTGAGCTTATGCTCAACTTATCATCATCCACTGGAGCCCCGCCTGCGTACTGTCAGCGCGGGTACCATTCCATTATCATCCATAAAAAAAATATACAGGTAACGGGTTATATTATAACAAATATAATTGTATGGTATTATATATGGTATATATGGTAATTACCTTTCTCGACGTTTCGATTAAATTGCAAAAACAGTGGTCAATAGCTACCAGGCTTTATCTATACATCTATACATATAAATAAAATTGGAGTCTGTAATATTGAAATAACTATTTTTTACTACATGCATATGGATATATATACGGTACATATGCCAAAATAACATTTTTTATAATTTTTGTCTGTCTGTCTGTCGGTCTGTTTGTTCCGGCTAATCTCTGAAATGGCTGGACCGATTTTGCCGGGACTTTTTTGGCAGGTAGCTGATATAATATGGAGTAACTTAGGCTACTTTTATTTTGAAAAAACTTTTATTTTAGAAAAAAAATATAAACATACAAACCCGTTCAACTATATTAAGAACATAAATAATTATAGAAGCTTTTGCTACTTATAAGGAAACTAATTAACGTAAATAATTAATTTTCTAAAACCGTTTCCGTGCCATTGATTTTTACTGATAAATACAATGCTAATGCCAAAGAAATACTTTGTTTTTTATATCATTTACCCTTGTCTCGGAAAAAGTACCTGTATCTCTTTCAAAATTTATTTAATTTTAATATAATTTTACTCCCATACATCGAGTTAAACTGAAACTAACCTAACTTCAAGAGCGTATAGGTGATCTTAGTACATGTATTATGTCTATCTCCTGTGATCGAACATGTATTACACCAAAGCCATTTGCATGCAGTTTTCAGCGATATCTTGCTAGGTCTAACACCAAATATAGGCCCCATTTTACCACACGGAAACTTTTTTTTTTCGGACTACTCTAATACTGTTGGCCGCAGCTGGCCTTTACAGCTTCACCGGACGATAGGGGGCGAGTGCAGATGGCACTCCAAACCCGCGGAAGGACTTATGGAGCGGCTGAAGGCCAGCTCCTGCCTGACGGATACGACTTTAGTCTGAGGGTACCACTAGAGAAACCTCAAATAGGTTCGAACCTCGGCTCAGGCCGTCGTAATTTCGATCTCCGTTTGAATTGATGGGGGATCGATCGGAGGGGCCAAAACATATACCGTGCGAAGCAAGGATGAATCGTATATAATCTATACAAATAAATAAAATTGAAGTGTTTGTTTGTAATGTCAAATAAACAGCTTTCATTAAACGCATATAACAGTACTCGCAACGAAATAAATAATTTTAAATATTTTATCTGTCTGATTGTCTGTTTGTTTGTTCTTGCTAATCTTGAAACGCCTGGGCCGATTTTGACGGATCTTTCACCCGCAAATAGCTATAAGGAGTAACTTGGCGATTTTAATGTTAAAAATAATATTTATATTAATAAAAATTAAAATATAATTTCCACACGGATGGACAGGAACCGGAAGTCGATTAGAGCTTCATAAATTTATACAACCACGACAAATCGAACTAAACTTGCATGAACCACAAATTAAAACTATAACTCACGAAGCTATGAGCTGCATCCTCATGGCGAAACCGCTTGCGAAATTCGGGTACACGAACCCACCCTCCTCCTCTAGGTCCTCGTAGAAAGTGAAGTGATGAATTATGGTTGGTTCTTCATCACTCAACGGGTAACCAACCCACATTACATCCTAAAAAAATTTTTTTTTTGTAGAAAGTGCAATTCTGTACCTTCAGTGTTGTAATAATGCGAACACCTTTAAATGACCTTATTTTTAAGACCCTCACATTTCTTATTATTTGTATTTTGCTATTTTTAAAATCTTAATAATATTATAAACGCGAAAGTTTCATGCAAAAACTACTGTACGGATTTTGATGAAACTTTACAGTAATATAGGTTATGCATCAGCTTTGCCTTTTCCCACCAAGCCAAATGAGACAAACTACTGGCCGAAAGGAGATGTGTACTGCCGCTACCGTGACAGATTGCCATAGTGATTGTGGTGAGCACAAAGTTTATATTAATACTTAATTTTAGATTTTATCATTTTCTATGTTAGCCCTCAATGCATATATAGTTAGGTAAGGTATGTGAGCCAATATAGTTATAAAAATAATATTAAGTTGCCTGAAATAAATAAATCTTATAAATACAGTGGACCCCCGGTAGTCCGACAATCATTTTGCAGGGCAGTGTCGGACTATCGAATTTGTCGGATTATAGAGTACTGCCTAAGACCCCTTACAGTCCGAATTTTTTTTACAAAAGAGTACCTTGTAATCCAACAAATTATAGATCCAATGATGATTCTTTATATTATATACATATACAGTGGACTCCCGGTTATCCGACAAACGTTTTGCAGGGCAGAGTCGGACCATCGTATTTGTCGGATTATATTATAGAGTGCTGCTTAAGGGTCCTCTGCTTATAGTCCGGAATTTTTTACAAAAGAATATCTTGTAATCCGACAAATTACAGATCCAGTGATAAGATTCTATGTTATATATGTATGTATGTATATGCACTCTGAAGTATATTGTCAAAGTAATATTCAATAACAAATAATAGACAATGTCGGATTACAAGGGGGGCCGGATTAGACAGGGGCCGGATTACCGCGGGTCCACTGTATTATAAATGCGAAAGTGTTTATTAGTCTAATGTTATTACTATTTCACGCATAAACTACTGAACGGATTTTGTTGAAACTTTACTGTAAAATAGCTTAAGCATCAGAATAACACATAGGCTATATTTTTTATTGAAAATTATATATAGAAATTGGTACAGCTGGTAAATAAATATATGGCAGTGATTACTTTGGGTACAGATTATAAATACCTCCTGTTTGTCAGCGGCGTGCAGCGCCTGCAACAGATTGCGACACCTGACGGCCGTGTGCGGCTCCATGAATAATACCCATCGTACGTCAGTGTCCTTATACCTGGATATTAATGGCCTCAGCAGCGGTATTATGGTCCATGCACCCGGCACGGGAAAGTCTTCGTGGGTTATATGGATATTTGGTTGATGCTGCCGACAAATTTTTGTTTCTAACAACTCTGCCTTTATGCGTACGCTCTTTCACGTGAGAATCTGCTTTCAGGCGGGAAAGAATGGGTATGTAAATGTAGACAAAGAGAACGAGTAAGATCGCGCCCGCTGGCAGTAAGCACATTCCCGCTTTCTTCAAATGCTTTAGCGCCTTTGTTATAATATTTAATAAATTTTACAAAATGGAGGACTTACTGAATACAAAACGTGAGTGATTTAGCGCCTTTTTATAATATTTAATTAATATAGTTAAATGGAGGACTTGATAACTACAAACCAAAGACAACAATACACTTGACTACAGATCAAAGAAATACAGTGTCTTTGATCTGTAGTCAAGTGTATTGTTAATTTATAAATATTAAGCGCGAGTTTGAAAATAAAATCTTTGAAATGCAAAAATTTTTTAAGTGAAACGACTTGAAACGCGTTATCACGCGCGAAAGAGTGATCACAAAAAATAGTAAAATGCAATTATATACGATTGCGCGCGCTGGCTTTCCCGCGCTAAATCGCGTGCGCTCCTGAAAGTGCGTGAAAGAATATATATTTTACACACGTGACCTAATAACGTAATTTTTGCTGAGAATATCCCCAATTTTAATTTATGAATGTGGTTAAAACATGATATTTATTAAGACTTTAAAGAAATACAAAAAAATTAAACCATGTACATTTTTATATATGGATATTGAAAGAAATAGAATACTAAAATACAAAATTATATTGCGTGTATATTACAAAAAAATATTACATTTTAAAAGAAGTAAAATATAAATTGCATTTGCTGCTACCAGGTTTGCATGGGCAGGAAGAGAAATATGAGCGGTTGTCGTACGACGGCAAGGGGCCTCTTAAACCTACCCGGTCACAAGTCCGGGGAACTCGGACTTTCCTTCTATGCCATACGTTGGACCCGGTACATGCACGGTGAATCCATGGAATTCTATGAAGATCGTCTCTACTAAGTTATATGTACATACCTTATCTATCTCTAAAATTTGGCTTTCGATGTCTTGTTTGAGCCGCCCGGCGACGCTTGCGTGGTACGGCTCACTTTGACTTACTATTACAAATACTACATTTCTCGAATCTGAAACAATAGAAATAGAAATAATCTTTATTCAAATAAACTTAATATAAGTTCTTGATGAGGTGTCGCTACTTAATTTATTTGTCTCCTATTCTCTAGGTAGTAAGTATACAAGTGAAATAATTGTTAGTTAATAATTGTTATATATATATAAAATATATATAACAATTAGTAACTAAAATAACAATATATATAGTATATAACTAAAATATATAAAAGAATTGTTAGCTACATTAGTTAGTTTATTTCATAGTGTGCTACGTGGTTTATTAGTAACGTGTACACTCGACGCGAAGTTGTAAAGACTGTCTTTAAACTGAACTTAAATCTAAGTTATGTTAAACACTCGGCACCCTTCCATTTATGTACATCTTAAATGTACACAAATGGAAGGGTGGCGACTGTTGACAGAAATATTACAAGTGTAGTCACACTAACAATCCCCTTCTCTTCTCTCTGTTAGAGCGATCCAATTCGCCCTATATATCGGTAATTTCCGCCATCACTACGTCAATCCCGAACTAACAATATCCGGTAAATCGAATACAGTTAATCGTTTACCTGTGCGTATAACTGCGGAACCCGTTGATTGATGAAGACAGACAGACAGCTCGTATTATAGACCGTGAAGCTATTAGTCATCGTTTGACGGTAATATAGCGGACATACGATATCCGTGACATTTGATAATGTATTAGTATTACGTTTCATAACATATACTTGGATATCGCAAATACATACTATTTGTGATATTTCCCTACGGCTGAACCTCTGCAGCCGCTCATATATAATATCACACAAACTATTATTCAAGTTCAATTTAAAAGATCGTTCGAATTACGGCGACTAATTACATTATTTCCATAAGCTAAGCTAATATACTATAGTACCACTATAGTACCACTATATACCACTATATACAATATATACTATAGTACCACTGGTACTATAGTATATTCTCCCTAATTTAATTCAAATATGAATCTGTATTTTTGAAATCTTGTACAAACTCTTTTGATAAGAATAAGAGCTAAGTTTCTTGTCAGTTCTTAACTCGAAAGCACTTCGAACTGACGGTAGATTAGACATATCATAACAGTCTGTAATAAACCTACATGAATAAAGATATTTGATTATTTTTGATAAGGCAGGCGTCATTATTGTAATTTGAATTCGTTCTAAATTCGAAAAATAATAGAGCTATTGAAAAACAATCGACTATAATTCTAATTAGGCAAAATATAATTGATAGAATCTATAATTTTTAGCTTTTATTCTTTATAAAATAAAGTCTAGTATTGTTTAAATTCAAAAAGTCACGTTAATCAAATAATATTATAAACCATTCAGAGATTAAATTAATTTAATTTAAAAATTTAAATCTAATTAAACACAAAAGATAAATAAAATAAAAATTATGGGAACTTGTTAAGTCTATATCCAGAGACCATTTTCTAAATATAAATTACCACTATTAAAGTATATGAAAGTCCTTCACAATTTTATGTATTTTTCTAACACAAACATATTTCTATTGCTCCACCTATAGTTAACACATATGTAGATGCCGCAAGACATTCTATCAACTAAATGTACATTTGCACTCCAAGCTTTATCGCTACGTAAATAATTAACCTTTTCAATTCACAGAAACTGCACTCATTCATAGACGACTAAAAAGACTTAAAACCTAAAATGTAATGAAAAAAAAAACAAAATTAACTCTATGAATAATTCATTAGCCGATAAACGCTAACGTCTCAACTGAACCTGACAGGCGGGAGATTATAGCGTCGAAGTTCTAAAACGACGTGCATGTAGCGTGATATAATGATTATGAGATGTGATAGACACGTTCATTAATGTGTCGCTTTTAATCGAGCGAGCGAAATTGAGAGACGTTCTTCTGTCTTTATTAATTTAGCAAACGAGACAGCAAAGCTTTCTCAAAGCTAAGTGATGCATTTTTGTTTCATTTTGTTTATTTTCACGTCTTCTAATTAGATAGTAAACAATATGACGCCCAGCTGATGTTCATTTCACTGCATTTTTTTACCTATGAACCAAATGAGTTTATTAGTGTATTTTTATACAGAATGTAAGACTCTATCTAATGGATATAACTTTCAGTAGTGAGTACTGGCTGTTAAACATTCTCTCTATATATTATATACTAACTGATTCACGCAACTTTGTCTGCCTCACACTTTTCCCGTTATGGTAACAATTTTCGTATCGTAATATTATTTAGTCTATAGCCTTGTTCGATAAATGGACTATCCAACATTAAAAGAATTGTCATAATCGGATATGTTCGTGGTTATAACATCCACGAACAAAATTTAATTATTGTATAGAAGACACTTCTTAAGTGATAGAACTCATTTAAGTAAATATTAGTATAGAACTTAGAATTTGATATTCTAAAATAGAATAGAAAATTCTATTAATTTATTCAAATAAAATTAATTTAATCAGTTTTGAATAGTTATAGTTATCATTCCTTTAATCTACCCCTCATTCGGAAAGCTGTCTCATCACAAGAAGAATGAGCATGAAAGTTGCGTGTTGCTCTTTTAAATAATCCTGTAACTACATTTTTAAGTCCAAACGTGTGAATACAAACTACCAACTAGCACTAATTTATTAGGGTCAGATATTAAATACACAATAAGATTAAATCAATCGTAGTGATTAAAGCAGGCCAGTCCCTACAAGCAGCAGTCGTTCACGAGTATGACGTATGAACCAGCCATTACTGCACTTAACACTTTCTTTATGGATGATAATGGAATAGTGCATCCGCCTGCGATAATGGTTTACGCTGGTGGGGCACTAGTGGAGGATATAATGAGGTCAGGTCAGCCCATCGTGACAAATTCACCAAGAATTTATCACGATGATTTCCAGGGGGACCTCGTGGAGGTCAACCTGACATGGTACATTGTTAGCAATAAGAATATCAGTTCACATTACTAATAATTCCCTTTCCCCAATCGACCATACTTTAGGGAGCCCAATGACCCGTGGAAGTAAGACAGTAACTGTGGTCATTTATAGATTGCGGTAAAGTACTATTCTATATTAGGATTACAAAGTTCGATTCAAGTTTATGTACGAACGGAGACATATACAAACTAGTGTCGCGTCTTTACTTTGCCTGCGTGGTGAAAACTTTGTAAGTTTTCCATACTGTCATAATATATAATCTGTATCACTCAGGAATAATGTATCTTTCAAACAGAGAGAGAATTGTTTAAATTTGTCAAAAAAAGTAATTACCTAATTTATGATATTCGATTTCCGTGACTTTGTCCGTGTGAAATTAAACTTTATTTTTTTTAAATAAAAGTTGCCTAAAGAACTAAAAATTATTTTGTTCGTCTTAATTTATTCGTTCCATTAGGTACTGATAGGTTCAAACGAATACATTTACATCCTGCATCATCCCTTATTTTAACCATGGGGATAAAATAAGGGATGTAAATTTATCAAAATCCTATTTAAGCGAATGTCTTCATCATAGTAATTCCAATCTTTAATTTAGGTTCAATCAGTCGAAAATCTAGAAAGATTTATACAAACTTTCATCCCCTTTTTATCGCCTTAGAGGTGGAATTTATCAAAATCCTTTCTTAGGGGATGCCTACGTCATAGTAGCTTTATGCATGCAAAATCTCAGTCCGATCGGACTAAAATGTACAAAGTTTCATACAAACTTTCATCCCGTATTTTATCCCCTTGGGGATAGAATTAATCAAAATCCTTAGTGGATGCCTATGTCATAATATCTACCTGCATGCCAAATTTCAGCCCGATCCGTCCAGTGATTTGGGTTGATAGATCACATGTCAGTCAGTAACCTACATCTAGACCCAAGTAAAGCTAGCTAAAGCTTGTGTTATGAGTACTAGACAACGAATACAAATACATACATATTATACATAGAAAACACACAGACCGATACAAACAATCATACAAACAAGCGGGTTCGATTGCTTTGACTTTGTATTCGTGAACAAATGTTTGTGCGACGAGGAATTGAACCCGCGACCATCGAAAGTAAGGCGGTACGCTAGACCACCGAGGCCGTCAAATGGTTCCTAAATATTTAACGTAACCTAAGGACGCCTGAAAATCCAGTAGTGCCACTTGCGCGTCAACGACTATTAAAAATCAATAGAGCCTTCATGAAAACCCCATATTGGTAGCCTGGAAGAAACCCAAGAGATAGTTAATAAAAATAACTTAGGGCCTATACAGCGCCATCTAGTCCCAAGCTAAGCAAAGATTTTGTTATGGGTATTAGACAACTTATAGAAATACATACATACATTTCTTTTGTAAATACATACAAAGCACATATACCTAGACTGATACAAAGAATCATACTCATGAATACAAATATTTGTACCGTGCGAGGAATCGAACCCGCGACCATCTAAGATGAGGCGGTGTGCTTAACCGCTAAACCACCGGGGCCGTCACACAATCTGAGTACCATTAATTTGCAGTATATAAATACAAAGGAACAGTATCTGAGGAGATTACTATCTGGATGCTCACAAAATGCCGCTCACCTCACCATCAGTGACACGTAAATTTTTCATAGATACGGCGCCGCCCGGGGCGGAATAAATCCGCGAGTGTAGCGCGCCGCCCCGGAATCGAACTCCGCTATGAATAATGCAAACTCACGATCACCTGAGGTGCGACACATTAAAATCGCATTGAAGCACTTTATAACGTCCCCGGAGAAGACATATTGCTCGAGTAAAGCGCATTTTCAATGAATAAACGTACACGCAAATCAACTTAAAGACGGCCTCCGTGGTCCAGCGGTTTAGCACACTGCTTTACATCCGTAGGTCGCGGGCTCGATGCTTCGCACGGTACAAACATTTGTATTCACGAGTACGATCGGCCTGGGTGTATTGTATGTATTTTTTTATGACAATGAATTGGTACACCTGCTATCGCTAACGGTTTACGCTGGCGGG